AGGTGTAAATGGTCTCAGAAGTGTTTGTGTCTGCCTCTGGGTCAAAAGTATCTCAACAGAGACATTTTGTTTCCATATTCCTTGTTATGGTGAGAGTTTCGTTTCTCATTGTGGCCTGTCTGAATCATGAAGAAGGCACTGACAGATACACTTAATGCACTAGTGTCATCAAGAAACTAGACGGTGTTGTTTGAGCTATGAATGGTGAGTGGGGATTGTTACTGAGAGCGGGTTTTTGTCTTATCTGGCTGCTGTCCTTGGACTCCCAGGGACACTTTGAACTAATTGATAATACCTGTTTTCCCGCAGAGGCATAGTCCTATTCCGTCCTCCACGCCTGACCAACAAGTTTGAGGAGAGCTCTGTCAAGTATCCAGAAGACAAAATCACCAGTGGAAAGATCAAGAAATTCATCCAGGAGAACATGTGAGTGATTTCTCATCAACAAATGTGACAGACTGGCCCCAGTTGGCTTTGGCCCTGTCAGAGCTTGTTTTTTCGTTGCTGCCACCTCTGCTGCATGTCTTGGCACTGCTTCCCTTTGGGGACACCTTCCTGAAATCCTGATGTGGCTGTTGGCATACACTCTCCGTATTCTAACCATTCTGTTTAAAAACTGAACCTGTGAGAGCTGTGCTAGCTTTGGCCTTAACTGGGTCAGCTCTAGCCACTGATGTGGCAGGAGATGGAGATTTTTCTCAGAAAAACCTGGTACAGGAGTGAGCAAAGCACTTCTTCCTGGGGTCTGATTGTCACTGACATTTGACTCCTGGGTGGGAAGCAAGTGTGCTGTGTCAGGCCTGTTCTGGGGTCATGGACTCTGCTAATACCTCTCTCGTTGACAGCTTTGGCATCTGCCCTCACATGACTGAAGACAACAAAGACTTGATCCAGGGCAAGGACTTGCTGGTGGCATACTACGACGTTGACTATGAGAAGAATGCCAAGGGATCCAACTACTGGCGCAACAGGTGGGAGTGGTGGGGGTGAATGGGCCTTGCACTGTTCCCGCCTTGCTGCGGTTCCAGAGCTTGGGTGACAGTGCTCTGAAATCCTGTGCGATTGCTCCTGGATCCCTGGTCCTTAGGAACCTAGACCTTACCCACAGACTGCCTCACTGCTGTGCTGTGCAGTTCTGCCCTTCGTGCCTGAGAGCCTGGACTCACGCAGGTGGGGCATGGAAACGTGCAACACTTGCCTCAGTCACCACAGGCACGAGTCTACTGGTCTGCTTCTCAGCACCATTTCTGCAGGACTTGGCTCTGAAGAGCACATTGTGCCACTGAATTCCTAGTCTGATGTATATGTCATCTTGAAGGGTGTTACATCATGTAGAAGAAAATGTTCAAAGAAATAACGCTTTGGGGTTTTGTTTATTTTTTTCCCTCAGAGTTATGATGATTGCAAAGAAGTTCTTGGATGCTGGCCACAAACTGTCTTATGCTGTTGCTAGTCGAAAAACCTTTGGCCACGAGCTCTCTGAGTTTGGTCTGGACAGCAGTGTGGGTGAGGCCCCCGTCGTTGCCATCAGAACTGCCAAAGGAGATAAATATGTCATGCAAGAAGAGTTCTCGTGAGTTCTTGAACTTGATGGTGATGGGTCTGATTTGATGGACTTTGGTCTAGAGGTCTCTGACCAGATGATACTTTGTTAGCTTTGAGGAAACAGGAAAGCTGGCTGTTGCAGCTGGAAGAAGCAATTGCTAGGTCAAAATGGCTCCTACTCATGTGTTTTCCTACTCTTTAGAGAGCTTGCAGTCCCTGCTGTTATATCAAGGGAGAGAATTTAATTCAAGATCCTGAAATTCTGGTTAGGAATTAGGGTGCAACAAAGGGCAGAAGAATTCATTGTACCTTTCCTTTTGAAAAAAAACCTGGAGAATGCTGTAATGCCTAAAACTTTGAATGGGATGTGTATCCAGCCTCCTGTCAGAGCCCTTTAAGGACATCACTGCACTTGTTCTGGGGTCTACTAAGCCAGCTCCAGACTGGTGCTGTCAGAGATGCAGGTGGCATCTGTTGTGTGGGTGGAAGTAGCTTAAATAAGCCTTGAAAGTTTCCCTCTCTCATCCTGTGTGTGAGATGATGGCTGTAACATCACTTTTCTTTCAGCCGTGACGGAAAGGCTCTGGAGAGATTCCTGCAAGATTACTTTGATGGAAACTTGAAAAAATACCTGAAATCAGAGCCTGTCCCTGAAAGCAACGATGGCCCTGTGAAGGTGAGTGCTGCTTATGGCTGCAGAGACACTGCTCAGCAGCAGCTTCCTGTGCCTGTGTGAAGTGCTGGGAGTGAGGATGGTGGCAGCTCAAGAGGCCTCTGTGCTGACAGACAGAGGAATTACCCACTCCCTTGTTCCACTGCAGCTTTCTGAGGTGAGGGAGACATAGAGCTTGCAGTTTGTGTTCTGTTTTTTTTCTCTCAGCATAGTAACTGCTGCTTGGCCCCAGCAGTTACGTGCTTTGTGAGTGCAGCAGCATCCAGATTTCCAGGGCTTACACAAAGGCCTGCCCTCTTGGCTTACGCTCAGTCCTTCATGGCATGGTCTTCCTGTTGGTTGTGACTGCACTGTTTAAGGGATCGCCCTGTTTATTTCATCATTGGGATCTGGTACAATTCCTGCCTTTCACCCTGCCAGGCAATTCTGCCCTGAGTAACAGCATTCCCTGGCCTGGCTTTTTGGTGAGAGCCTTACACAGGAGTGCGAGTCACGGGATTCACAGATGTTTTTGGGGCGATGGGGACAGCCTCAGCCAGTCCTGCTGATTGCTTGCTGGGATTAAAAAGAAATGGCTTTATCTTCCCGCGAGGACACCGTATGCAGACCTCACTTGGAGGTAGTGCTGGTAACTTACGGCAGGTTTTTACCTGCATGGTGCAGATGAGGAGTGCTGTGTTTGGTTCTGCTGCTTGCTGTGCAGGTGTGGGAGACCCAGGCTTGGGTGGAGTGTATGGAGCATGTCATGTCATCGCCTCATCTCTGCCTTGGAAGGAACTAACTGGTGTGATCAACCCTTACAGGTGGTGGTGGCTGAGAACTTTGATGAAATAGTTAATGCACAAGACAAAGATGTCCTGATAGAGTTCTATGCACCGTGGTGTGGCCACTGCAAGAATCTGGAGCCCAAATACAAAGAATTGGGGGAGAAGGTAAGTGTGAGATTCTTGCAAATGCGAACTAGAATTTTGCAGCACTAAATGATCCTGCAGGTCGTTTCCAGCTTCTATGGTAATGGGGTGTAATTGTGCCTCCCTGAGGATTACAAATTTTGGTTTCTTTGCAGAGTGCAGATATCTTGCAGCAGGATCTGTGGTAGCAACCACACTGGTATATTTAGTCTGTGTTATTGGCTAGGGCACAGGAATATTCTAGGATTCAGTGACTGGCCTCAACTGCCCAAGTTTCTTTTTGGATCTTTTCCCTCTGCATGATGATAGTCTCCCATGTGGTGAAGGTTGGTGAAGTGGCATTCCCTATGCACTGTCCTCTGACACCACTGTCTCAGATCATGCTGACTGCTGGGTTCCTGGATTTTGGAACTGGTTACTGATAGGTTCTTTCTACCCACAGCTCAGCAAAGATCCCAATATCATCATTGCCAAAATGGACGCTACAGCCAATGATGTGCCTTCTCCCTACGAAGTCCGAGGGTAGGTGTGACTGCTGTGACACCACGTGTCAGTGCCTGAGTCTGACTTCAGGCACAGCACTGAAGAGCTGAAAGAGCCTCATGGGGAAGGGTGTGGGGATTGCCAGGCAATAGCTAGGTGACTGCTGGGCAATGGCTTGATGTGGAGAAATCAAGAGTGAAAACAAAATACACTGATCTGCCTGGCTTCTCCAGGATTTTGGTGTCCTGGCTCTGCCTGGAGGCCCATCCTGCTGCTTTGGAATCTGCTGAGGTTCTGTTCCTGGCAGTGTGAAAACAAATCTGGGCTTGCTATTCCAAAAGCAGTTCAGCTAGCAAACTTGAACCTGTGGGTTCATCCAGATCTGCCAGGCTCTTGAAGGCCACACCTGGTGCCTCAGAGCCACTGAAGCTGTGCCATGTTAAACCAGGGCAGTGTGGGGCGTGAGTCCCTTCAGTTGGGGCTGGTCTGATAGAAATCAGAGCATCTCAGGAGCTCATGTGTTTCTTCTCTCTCCAGTTTCCCCACCATCTATTTTGCTCCAGCTGGCAAGAAGCAGAGTCCAAAGAAGTATGAGGTGAGTATTTTTTTTTGCTGTTCTTGATGCTTTGTAAAGAAGTGAAGAGCATCCAGGTGTTCTAATTATACTCAAGCCTCTTTGGAGTTGGGGGTGGCACCGTGTCCTGTTTCCCTGGGAACACACCTGATGGTACCTGCTGGGAGCGTTGTACTTTAGGTTGTAGGCCCTGGGGAGACTCTGCTTGCAGTCACCTGGGTCTCCCTCCAAAGCACCTGAACCCCCCTTCAGGAGAGGGGAGGTCCATCGTGGGTACAGCTCCTGCCTGACTGTCATTTGTTTCCTGCAGGGAGGCAGAGAAGTGAGTGACTTCATCAGCTACCTGAAGCGGGAGGCAACCAACACTCCCGTGCTACAGGAGGAAGAGAAATCCAAGAAATCCAAGAAGAAGGTGAAGGAGGATTTGTAAAGTACCTACTTGCCATCTTGTCAGAATGAGCTCTGTATGAATTGGGGAAGCGCTGGTCAGTCTGGGGCCAGTTCTGGGCTGTGGAGAGCCAGTGGCCATGGGGGCCGAGGGGCCCCAGCTGCTGTATCTAGTAATGTTTAATTTTCTGCCGTCTCTTAGCTGCACTGTTGTGGGGCTCCCCAGGTTTGTTTTGTGGTTTGGGAGGGGGTGGGGGTACAGTTATTTTCTAATTTTTTTTGTACATTTGGAGAAGTGAAACAATAAAATGACCCCCTTAAGACCAAGTGTCCCTGTCCTGAGGAAGCCCATCAGACCTAGCAATGGGATCCTGTTCTTCATAGGCAGCAGCTTCCTGCTGCAAGTTGTTCCCTACAGTGAGCCCTCCTAGTCACTGACTTTAGCTTTTAGCCCGTTATCCTCTTTCCTCAGCTGCCTGAGCCCCTCCAGAATGTAGCAGCAACAGCAGTCCCAATGTTGGGCTTCGGGTGCTGCATTTACACATTTTGGACAGGGGAGCTGTGGCCGCAAGTGCCTTTGCTGTGTGCTGCCCTGGTGAGTTCAGGGTACATGGTGCATATTGTGGCTGTGGGATTGCAGCAGCGCAGGCACACAGAGTAGGCAGGCAAGGGCCTCACTCAGCAGCAGCAATAAATCTGCTTTCAAACTGGTGCAGGCGTAGTCAGCTCCACTGACATCTGACAATTACCCATGTAACAGTAGTGCTGCTTCCTTGGTGGGCAGGATGGTGCTCTCCATCAAGCCAAGGAAAGCCAGGAAAGTGGTTCTAGTCCTGTCTTGCAAACAGGATGGCTACAGACCTTTCAGTGAGGCCTGTGTGGAGAGCTGGTCCTGTGTAAGGGAGAAGCCACCACCCAAAGTAACACATTCCCCCAAAGCAGGGAATGGTGCTTCAGGGTAGCTGGAGCAGCTGGCACTGCTTCAAAGATTGGTCCGGATGAGCAAGGAAAAAACAGCAGCAACAGATTGCTTGGGAGGCCCCACTTCTTGTTAGAATCAGGCTTCTGATGTGAGACAGCCTTGGATGGAGATGCTCACAGTGATTCTTCTCCTGCTGATAGCTGGGATAGGCCAGACCCGGCCTGCAGCCTCGGTACCGGAGATGCCCG